AGAGGATACGGTCTCATTGATGCATAGTGCATAGAAACCGTCCAAAGTTCAAGCCCAGCGAATGACCATTATTAAGATCAGGGATGGCTCTGTCCGAAAGCTCCCGATAGTAATGGTTGATGAAGTTTGAAAAGGCCTTCAATTGCTTCCTGTGTCCCTGTAACCCTCAATCACTGTGCTTCAGTCATGTAATCCTTCGATATATCATTCTTCTGAATCAACAATAAGAATTTCGTCATTGGCAGGAGGAGCATTATATGATTCATTCACACACGATTAAATTGAATATAAGCGGCGGGGTTATTTATTTACAAGCTTCCTACGCTTTTTACGTCATATAAACTTCGAGACGAACGGAAATGCTTGCATTTTACTAGTTAGAACCGCTTGGGCATCACAATCAATTCAATTTTTGAAGGGTTAGCTTTTAGCTAGGTTCCATGAAGTTCAGTTTCATGGTTGATCCCTGAATTTTTTTGACTAGGACTAAAGTGTAATAATCTACTATTCGCATGAGCGTGATGCTCGTGTGGCCTTAACAGATTGTTCTTAGAGGGCTTTATTTTTCGGTTTTTATGTTGATCGACCTATGGAGATGAGAATATCCTCGAGTATCCTGTTTTTTCTCTAACCATGCTTTGTTTTGCCTTCTTCATATCGTAACTTATGTTATCCCTTAGTGAACCGAATGAAGCAGTTTACTTGTCTTCAGATTTCCGAGCTAAGTCTGAAGCCAAAGGTATTTCATTACACGGCGGTCGCTTCTTTCAATATCGATAACGTCGTAATAAATATCTGCCCTTTAATGATGTCACTGAATCACGTGTTCATTCAATCAACTTGTTTCAAGAATCACCAATGAAAGTACTTGATATTTCCTGTGCTGCTTGTTCTACAGGGCCGATATAATGCTAGTGCTGGTGATATTGATTTCATGACGTCATTAAGTTAAAAAGGTATTCTAGAGTCATCAGCGATCAAGGTTGAAAAGTTTCAAATCCCTGATATATAAGTTTCAACCTTTTATAAAGTCATAAAATCTACAATTCAAGCTGAAGAATTATGTAAGAATTGTATCTGTACTTATAGTTTGTTGGTACATCCAAACCGGAGCGCATAAAAATGCTATCAGTAAATTTTGAATTTTTGCAAACGAGACCATAAATAAAGGCCAGTAGGTCTGAAAATTATAGCTTCACTACCTTTATGTCTACAAAGAAATTAAAACTGCATGGAAGTTCATGATGTTGAACTGCGTAGAAGCAAAAAAAGCCCTCGGTTAATCAAAATTCCAATCAGTTTGTTTCTTTTTTAAGTATTAATTTCTTTGATGAGAATGAAAAATGCAAATATGCCTCTACCGAAGTGGTGATAACTCCCTGCCTATGTCCAGCTCTTTTAGTTTGGTTGAAACTGATAAAAAGTATCAGACAGATTTTGGTGTAGAACGATAGCGACTTAGTCGTGGGTCAATGATATAAGGCGCATGATTACCGCATTTGATGAATAAAACATTCGAGGTTGGGTTTAATAGCTTCGGTTACATTTTGCAATTTCAGTCAACAAATGCCCGGATAATTGAGTTAGCGATCAACCCAAGTTCTCCTGCTTTGGTAAACTCCAGCCTCCTGATATTTTATAATAATTTTTGAATACCACCCTTTTAAATCTCCTACCACCATCAGCTTCCGACGAAGCAGTTAGGCCATTCTTCTTCCTTTGAGCATTCTTAATACCCTAAGCAATCTACTCAAAGGATACTGATGATTTTGCTAAAACAGGGACGCGGGAGCAATTTTTGGAATGGGGGGGGGGGCTCTACACAAATTGGTTAACTATTATTATAGCGGTCACTTGGTAAAAAAGTAAAGAGAAAAAACAACAACACAATGCAGCTAGATGTAGTAGAATTCTTAAGGAGGAGCTCACAAAGTTGGTTAACTAACGAGATGAGAGGCCCCCTGTCGTCTATCAGAACCATAGACACAAAGGCGATGCTAAATTGCTAGCTTAAATAATAAAATTCTTTAAACGTATCGAATACAAATTTCATTTAGACATTCAGATTTAGTCATTTAGCATTTAGCAAGTGATGTTTTCGATTCTTTTTTATTAAAAACCTAGAGGTAGAGTCTCGAATGTCAGCTGATAGGTCGTTCCAGAGTTTCGCTCCAATATATCGAATGGACTTTAAGCCAAATTGAAGCGTATTTTTTTATCTAGATAGATATCTCCTAGGAAAGACTGCTTTGTTTCATAGTGATGGACTGAAATATTTAGTGAGAAGAAATTGTTAAAGCCACTCGGTGTTAGTTTGTTTATTGATTCAAAAACAAATGTTAAAAGGCGGAGTTTAAATATGTCATGAAGTCTGAGTAGCTTCAGACTTCTGAAGATTGGTGTTGAATGGGAAAGGCCTTTGCAGATTGAAAACAGGGTCAACGTATGAGGCAAATGTTTGACCCCAAACAATGATACCGTACTGGAGAAATGGCATAAATAGAGAATTGTAGATGCATATTAGAGAATCAGTTGGTAAAAATAGTCTGATTTTGAAAAAAACTCCGCATGTTCTTGCCAGTTTTTTGGAGGGTTCATTTAGATGAACTTTCCAACTAAGATGTTCATCCAGAAGAAGTCCCAAAAATCTTACATGATTTACCCTGGTGATATGTTGTTCACCAATTTTAATTAAGATGTCGGATGGAATAGTTTTGCTGGAAGAGTGAAAAATTGTGTAATTAGTTTCACTTATATTCAATGAAAGTCTATTAGCATCAAGCCATTTTTGCACATTTTTTTTTAAATTCTGTATTTACATTTCTAACAAGATCGTATATTGATTTGGATTCGTAACAAATATTTGTATCGTCTTCAAAAAGGTAAAAAAGCAACGGTTCTAGTACAGATCCCTGTGGAACACCACATGTGATTTTAGTAATTCAGAATTTACGCCATTGACTGAAACAAATTGATGTCTTTCTGAAAGGCAGGACAGCCTGCGTCACAGATGGTCTGTGACCCAGGCTAAGCCAGGGCATATCCTCTGGATACCATAATGTTCAAGTTTGTCAATCAAAATATCGTGGCTAACAGTATCAAAGGCTTTTTCCAGGTCGATAAATATTCCACATCCATATTACCTGTTGTCAAGAGTATTTCTTATTGCTTCAGCCATACTGATCAAAGCATCGTCAATCGAATGTTTTTCTTGAAAACCAAATTGTAAAGGGTAGATTACCTTGTTAAGCGCCTTTGTTAGAAATAATTGATTTTATGCCTACCCACAGTTTTTTCATATTTTGGCAATTTGTAGAGAAATAGTCATGGAAATAGTTTAGCTTGTTTTTTTATCTCATTTGTTACCCGATTTCTGTATTTTCTGTAGAGTTGAAGATTGCTATCCGATCTATTTCTTTTCATCTTTCTCAACATGTGATTACGAATTCGCATCTTTCTTTGTATTCTGCTGTTGATCCAAGGTTTCGCTTTTATTTCTGATTCTTTTTTGTGCACTTTATAACTGGTACATGTTTTTCAACAAGCATATCAATGTCTTGAGAGAATTTATTATAGTTTCCATTAATATCGGTATCATTATCAATATCGCTCAATTCTAATTTATCAAAGTCAGAAATAAACGACCTCTCGTCAAAAGAAGAGTAGTCATGTTTATAGGTCACTGACCTATTGTATTCCTTATTAGCGTTTTTAAGAATTGGAAATTGCGTGAAATGGTCGGAAATTTAGGTCAGAATACTTCCACGTGTAATTTCCGAATCCGTTAAGTTTATGAAAATATTATCAATTATTATCGACGAGTTATAAGAAATTCTTGTTGGGTGATTTATACAAAGCAAGAAGTTGTACGAGAAGAAAGTATTGACAAAATCATTGGTAGGCGCGTGAGAATCGAAATTTAAAAGGTTTATATTAAAATCGCCCATCATAAATACCTTTTCATTGATTACTTTTGGAAGAGTACCTTAAAGATATTCATTAAATTTCTCAATCTCAGAACCAGGATGTCTAGAGATGCAGCAGAATAGAAAAATTGTCCAAGTTTATTATCTTTTTCTACCCAAACTGCTTCAAATTCATCACAATTTAGGCCGAGGTTATTGCATAATTTTGAATTCAAAGACTTCTTGACATAAAGTCATACACCTCCATTTTGGCTTGACGATTTAGTGTCGTAATGTTTATATCCTTCAAAGCTGACATTTGATAAAATTTCATTTTGAGTTAGATTCCATGTCTCAGAAACTCCTATAATATCAAAATTGAACACATAGATTAGTAAGTTCATCATTGTGTAAAGAAAGACTCCTTATATTTGTATGAAGAATGGAAAGATCACGAGAATCATATCTGAGGGAACTAAGTTCAGGTACAGTAAAATAGCGTGAGTCAATAGTTTGAGGCAGTTGCTCATCAATGTCCTAGTCACTCAAGTATGGTACTGCAGTTAAGTTCGAAGAATACTGAAAATTTGACGGTCCGGCGATATATGAGGGCTCTTCGTGGTTCTCTTCCTAATGCATATAGCATGTAAAATTCAAAAGTGATTAAACGAGAAAAGGTGATCACTAAGGCGGGAGTGAAGCACAATTTCGGTTTAGCAATTGGATATTTAATCCTAGCAGTCAAGCCGAGCGGCGCTAGTTGTTTGAATGGAATCTATGCGTTTTAACAGAAAAGGGCGTGCTGTTGACAATAGACATGTTACTGCATCAGTTCGTCAGTTGTAATCGAAATGTCTCAAGGCATCTTGAATTGTGATTTAAAATAAGTGGGACGGTCTGGAAGCCTTTTGTTCTTCCCGATGTCATGTTTTTGTTTACGAAAAATGCGGTCACGTGGTATCGAACGTGCACACACTAGTCGGGTTGAAGAGACGCATGTTATGAAAATGCTTGTGCATGTTGCCGGCGATCTTGATACATATTCTATGTTTGCATAAATTTGCTCGAAAATAACTGCTTAAGTGCGAGTCAGGGATGCCTGGCGATAATTGTGCCTTCAATCAATGCGGTACAAGTCGAAGATCGAAAGGAATTGGGCTGTTCAAACTGCCAACTCCAAGGCGTTCCGACGATGTTGAGACGAAGGAATGGCGAGAAAAAGTTTTGGCCGTTCTGAAAAAATATCGTGTAGAAGATGAAGGTTTCAAGCGTCAGCTAGCTGCTAATACACTACACATATGTGAAAAACATTTTCGTCCGGAAGATATCGAGATATGTAAGTTCAACTATACTAAGTTTACTTGTTTTGTTGGTCTACGGCAAGTTCATAGGACATTGTGAATCCGAATAACATGTTTTGCTGGATGTCATATTGGAAGGGGAGCGTTCCCGGACCCTTGGCGAGATGTGATTCGTTAATACAACCCAAAAAAACTCCTCAACATGTACGACATGAAGTTAATCGACATCCATTTGGATATGCTTTGCTAACCTGTACTTTATATCTGATCGTAGTCAGGTTTTAAAAACAAATAATGGAAATATTAAAACAAGTAAATATGTACTTTTGATTTTGGTTCTTAGCTACGGAAGCTTTATAATTTTAATCATTCAAGTTATATGCAAATACAATGCACAAGATTCGTTATAAAATCTTGAATTTTATCAATCCTAAAACCAAATGTAAACAAATCTTTTTATTTAACCTAACTAGGCTTTTTTTCTTTATGCGAGTTTAATTTCTTCACAGATGAAGGTGAGAAAATGACCAAGAGATTTTTGAAAAAAGGAGTCCTGCCTTCATTAAACATGCCAGTAAAATCGTTTCACTTTACAAAAACAAATTGTGTAAAAAGAGAACCAAGGACAGTTGTTCAGTCAATTCCAATTGAAGACAAACAACATTTCTACTACAAGTCACTTCTGGAGCTAAAAAAGCGAGTTGGAAAACTTGTTTTAAAAGATTGGTGTGTTGCAGAGACTGATAATGAAGATTATTTCACTCTAAATCACATGGATTCAGAATCTCTTGTACCAAAACTCAGCGTGATGATTGATGAAAGTTTGAGTTTCACTATCTCTGTCTTTGGGTACTTCATACCAGGAAGCCACTTTCTGTACGAGGACTTTAGAAGGTCTGTTCGCAATGTAACTGTGTCAGACCTGCTGCTTAATCTTCACAGTCTCATGATTTGCTCAGGCAGCACATCATTAGGTGATGAAGGAACTGTAAGGCATGTTGTACCAATATTAGTGAATCCATTCGAGGGTGATTCAGTAAACTCTCCGTTTCCTTGCAAAGAATACATCAGAGCAAAAAGCTGTTTGGTTCTGATAAAATCAGATGATGTTGGGGGCTGCATGTGTAACAGCTGTTCTGACCTTGGGCTCAAGCAGGAAAAAAAGAAAAGAAAGTCAAGGGCAAAGCTTTCTGTTCCTGCACAAGCAAAGGCACCAATCAAAGGGACATCTGTTGAAAGAATCAGACTTGCACTGCAGGAAAGCAGACTGCAAAACAAGCAATTGCTGAAAGAATTAGGGAAAATGAAAGTTGAAATAGAAATGAACAGCAAGTCTTTAGACCACGAGCTTGACAAAGACCTACTTTCTATTATTGACAAGCATTCACAAAAGATGACCCCATTCATGAAGCTGTTTTGGGAGCAGCAAAAGAAAATCTCAGACAGACCCTCTTTTGGTCGTCGTTATCACCCCATGATCATTAGATGGTGCTTATCAATAAGCTCAAAATCTGCATCGGCTTATGAAGAGCTGAGAGAAACTTTCAAGGATGGGGGTTTATTGGAACTTCCAAGCAAAAGGATGCTTCAAAATTATCGAAATGCAGTTTCTCCAAAGTGTGGCTTCAATCCTGATGTCATTGCAGATTTGATTGATGCTTCTAGAGACTACCAAGGCCTCCAGCGCTATATTGTGTTGCTTGTTGATGAAATGAAGGTGCAAGACAATCTTGTATGGAATAAACATTCTGGAAAACTTGTTGGGTTTGTTGATTTAGGTGATCCTGACACGAATTTTGCAACCCTTAAAGAAACAGATGCATTGGCAACACACATGCTGGTTTTTATGATAAGAGGGATTCAGACAAAGCTCAAAATGTCAATGGCATATTTTGCTACAACCGCTGTCACTGGTCACCAGATGTTTCCAATCTTTTGGAAGGCAGTTGGGTTATTAGAAATGACATGCAAGCTTGCTATCATTGCTGTTATTTGTGATGGTGCATCATCCAACAGGAATTTTTTTAAAATGCATGAAGACTTGGACGGAAGAGGAAGTGCAAATATTGTTCACAGGACATTGAATTTGTTTGCCAAAGACAGATACATCTACTTCTTCAGTGACCCTCCACACTTAGTGAAAACAAGCAGAAATTGTCTACACAATTCAGGGTCAGGTCGAGGTTCCCGTTTGATGTGGAACAATGGATGTTATCTCTTGTGGAGCCACATATCCACTCTGTATTACAATGATCTAGAGAATGGTCTACATTTTTTGCCCAAGCTTACTACTGAACATGTTGAGCTGACTTCATTTTCTGTTATGAAAGTAAACTTGGCAGCACAAGTTTTGAGCCAAACTGTAGCAAACATTTTAAGAGATTTTGGGCCTCCTGATGCAGCAGCCACTGCTGAATTCTGTGAGCACATTGACTCTTTCTTTGACTGCATGAATGTGAGGTCACTCAAGGAAGGTTATGGTAAACGGAAACCATATTTGCTACCATACAGAAGTCTTGAAGATGAAAGGTTGACTTGGCTGAAAGAAACCTTTCTGAAGTACCTTGAGACTTGGAAAAGTAGTATTGAGAGGAGAGAGGGGACATTTTCAGAGGCTGATAAAGCCAAGATGTTCATCTCAAAACAGACACATGAAGGTTTCATGATCACGGTGCACTCCTTAATTGAAACTGTAAGATTTCTTTTAAGTAGTGGGATGGAGTATGTCTTGTCAAATCGTTTCTGTCAAGACCCTTTAGAAGAATATTTTGGAAAACAAAGAGGCATTGGTCGACGAAATGAAAATCCAACTGTGAAAGATTTTGGATATAATGACAATATTATAAGAGTTCAAAGATCAGTGTTACAGATCAAAGGCAATGTGACTTCTACAAAAAAAAGTTCAGAAAAACGCTGGAAAGAAACCACAGATGAACCTCTTCTCACAAAAGAAACAATCAAGAAAAGAAAACTTGACTCGTAAACAGTACATTAACTCTTATGAATTTTTATAAACAATTACACTTTAGAACAAAGTATTGCAAAACAGAAAAACCAACTAGTTGGATTTGAGGACCTTTTTCGAATTTTCTGTCATTTAGTGATGAAAAAGCAATTAAAGCGAGTTTAATGATTTAATTAGAAAACCCTGAAAACCTTGCTTACATTTACGAAAAAAATTTATTAAAATGTTTCATTTAGTAGAAAGGTAATTAAATGCTGAAATTAAGGGTAACAGTTGGCTTGCTGAAATTAAGGGTAAAGTTTTGCTAAATTCTAGGGAAATAACTTCTTGAGAAAAAAAGATTTAAGACTTTTGCTTTAAATGGATGAGGTGTGATTGAACTATTCTAAACAATTTCTTTAACTTTCAACTCTTGCTTGCTATTGTAGGTTTATTTCTAGTCAAGTCCAGTTATTAAAATAATTAGTTATTAGAATAAAAGTAACCAGAAAGAGTATCTATAAAAAGAAGTTTTCAATGCTTAATTGTCAGCCTCATCTGCCTTTTTTAATCCTCGTCGTAATGCCTTATCCTTCTTATGCTTTTTTCTATATTTATTTACAATGTCCTTTGTGCAAGAAAAAGCTCTAACACGAATGTACAGTGACAAAATTTTTTCCAAAAGATCTTGTGCCACAGCTTCATCAATGGATACCTCTGACAAAGTAACCCAGTTTTCATAGAGAGCTTTGATAGCCACCTCCTTCACTAGTGTATTAATAATTTTATTAGTGTCTATCTCTTTAGTAGCAATAATGTTTGTTGTATGCCTTCTAAATGCCATCTCAGTCACAAGTAATATCTGTTGTACAATATTGTTGATGTACCAAAGTCCACCACGATTTAAAGATTCAATAAGCTTTTGAGATGAATCATCCTGATATCTTCCAGCTTGAAGAATCATTATGCAGTTTTGGCTTTCTAATTTAGAATAAACCCGTGCATGATGAAACTTCTTGTTAAGGTTAAAAAGCACATATCCACCTAGATACTGCATTGCCAACTTTTCTTTTTCCGTTATTTCAACCTGAGGCATTCCCATGTCTGCAGAGGGTTTTTGCTCTTCCTGTACTACAAGTAGACTGTCTGCCAATTTCATTGCAAGGAAAACTGCTTGTTGCTCTGACAATTCTGGGAGGTATGAATTTGCTTTAGCTACAAATTGGGCATAAAATACCTTGTAAAACTTCGCAGCATTTGCTTTATGTACCAAAACTTTGAACAAATTCTGAGCCAAGTGAAGTCCATTTGTTGCATGACAGTTATCTACTTTGAATGTGTATGACAAAAATGCTGCCCTTTCTGCTGGAGGAAGACAAAGGTCAGACGCTAATGATTTGGCCCCATTATTCACCAAGTTTTCATAAATATCCTGTGTAAGGTCAAGTTCTGGAGACTCAGGCTTATGACCAGGATCAGGATGTTTTGCCTTTTGATGTCTTCTGAGTCCCCCTTTCGTTTTATAGACTTTTTGACACTCAGGGCATTCCACAATGTTCTCTTGAACCTGTGTATAAAATGAAAATTTACAGCTAGCCAAGATTGAGCAAAAATTCTGTAAAACTTTTTGGCTACTAGCTCTAGAAGGCCTAAAACAGTAAACGGAAAGGGTGAAAATTTTACTTGAGGTTTTTACCCTAACGCTCCAATTTTTTTTTTTAATTTTCGTATATACGGTAAATCATGAGTTAATTTGTTATTTGTGTTCATCATTTACGTATCATGTAAAGTAGCGTTGAATTATTTCATTCATAATATCTAAATGTAATTTATATAATATAATCTAATTCATAATGGCCTAGTTGTGACCGATAGCAAGTAAGGCACAATGATGGCAACAAAACATAACCTACCTCATCTACTGCCCGCTCGAAATCTAATTGAAGTTCAGCGGAATCTGCAAAAAAATTCTCATCGAGCAATTGCAAGATTATATCGCAATCATTTAGTTCACTCTCCAACTCCATCTTTTCGACTTCTCAAAATCCTTGTGCACGTTCGATCTTGAGAAGGGCCTGGAAACTAGTTGCCTCAACATCCGAGGCGGCTTCCTTATATCAAGACAAATGTTTCCAGACCGTCCCAATTCTATAGACTATGGCTTAATGAAGCAATTGCAGCAATTACATTAATATACAAATTTCTTCTAAGCCCCCTCGAGGATTACGGTTTCGAACAACAATTGAAAAAACAAAGAGAAAAGACAGCCATGTCTAAAGAAACGAGTTCAACCTACTAAAATGATTGTTTCTCAGTCTCTCAAGATCTTCCAAATCATGAATCGTTTGCATTTGCAGACATTAATTGCAATTTGTGCTGGTTTAGGAAGGGAGAATTCGTAGAATTTCATTTGCCCTTTTAATGATTTCAGTTGACTTTCGTTGTTCCTCTGTAATATGAGAAGAGGCTGTGTTGTTGCTCCTGTGTAAAGCGGGAATGACCGTTCGCTTAGACGAAAATATCGTTTTCCATGTTTAAATTTTGATAGAAACATTGCTCCGAGTGTTATCATTTACAATGTGTTGCAGAACAATGAAACATTTTTTTGCAAGAGAATGACCAGAATCTCGACAAAGAAACCTCGATATTGCTCTATAACTTTTCCAGTAAAGATCGGATGCAAAAGATCGGATACAAAAACTTTCAGATAGTAAGACTTTTGAACAATTTTTTTTATAAAATGAACAGGTGACAATTGATAGCTAACCTTCTTATACTGATTATTTGGTGTGGCCATGGTGAGTAAGTCAAGTTTAATTTGTCTTACAAGCCAAATTCTTATTTCTTTCACAATCTACACTTTTGACATTCAATATGCAATATCACGGTTGAAGCTACTGCCAACGGCAGAATTTCATTTTTAAAAAGTTTCTGTTTTGGGAGACTTTTTTGGAAACCGCACACGATAGACAATCCTTTGTGAAGCACAGGTCTGAGATCAAAGAGGACTGGGATTAAATACCCTTTCATTTTTAGCACAATTTGAAATATCTAATGGAAAAATGTCATTATCATGTGATCAGAATATTGCAGTTCAATTTTTGTAAGTCTGTTTGGATGTTTACATTGGTCATCTAAATGTTTACAGTGGTCACGACCATCAGGAAAGTTAATTTCCTCTTTCTTCGGAATGTCAGTACAATAAACAACTCGATTATTATCATTTGTATGACGTAATTATGTTTCTTACAAAAGACCCTTTGTTTCTGATGACGGGTCAATGATCAAGTTGCTAGGTGTTTTTATTGAACAGTTTAATAGCCACTCGACGACACGGTCTTTTCAATTAGAACCGGGGGTATTCTCAACTAGTTTTTTGAAAAGAAGCCTCGAAAGGACTATTGAATAACCTGCCTCGTTTCCGTTTGGGACTCTGAAATTTGTATTCACCCTTCCAGTGAGGGTGCAGCTTCTTCGATACCGAAGGATGGTTGTTCTGCCATTGCTTAAAAGCACACAGTTTTCGTCTACACGTTTTTCTTTTATATAAGAAATTTTTTTCAACCCCAGCCCTCAGACTTTCTTATAGCTATTTCCTAATTTCTTAACGTAAAATTGGAAAGTTTTATGTTACTAAGCATGCGCAGTGATGGAGAAGATGAAATCCTTTAAATATGCTATATTTCTCAAAAACCCTCAACGTCATACTGTATTCGTCGTTCCTGTTCAGCACATCACATTACTGTATAATATTTCACTCTTACTACACCACAATTTCTTTTGAAACTTTGAATATCTAAATTTTTCAACTTTCTTATGTTTCAAAAATCCATCCCTGAACTTTTTTAACTTTTTGAAGAACCGAGTACAACTTTCTTATAAATTTTTTTTGATACAAAAAACGTGTAACCTAACAACACGAAATTTTAGAAGAAACTGTCTATAAACGATTCTTAGAATGGCAAAAGATTAAGAAACCAAAGCCACAGTTCTAATCACCCTCGACCAAAAAGCTTCTAGAACCTGATTCTGTCGAAAAAGAGATGGAAATAATTCTCTTAGACCATAAGGTACCTATTCCAGGTCAATTACACGGATAATTGAACGAAGTACCAATTTCTGCTTTTTGCTATCTTATGTTACATCCTTTTGATTGTAGTAAGTAGCGCTTTAGCATTTGGTATTTAAAACACCGCTAAGAAACTTTAAGCACTGAAATCAGCTAAGATGTTCAAGAAACTTAGTACTTTTCCTGAGCTTAGATTCTAGGAAAGTTGGCATATTACTGTTCTATGTATGGGATCTATAATCAACTGCATGTTTTTCATCTTGACCTTAAATTTGTCACCAAAACAACGGGGCTAAATGGCTTTTATATTTTCTTTCAGGCAGTACTGCTGGGCTTCGAAGACAAAGAAGCAGCGAAACATCGCGTACGAATTAACATGCTTTCTTTTTTTCATGTGGCTTTTACAATGTAACAGCTGGCCAATTTTCTAAATTATGTTTCTCATTGGCCTAGAATGGGAAGCATTCAGTTGCTCGTCTTATTGCTATCCTTCTGTACAGTTCACCATTGCTCTTTCCTTGTTTATATCGAGGACTTACCGGATAATTCGTGCTGTCTAAAGAAGACATCTTTTTGCAGAGCATCTATCCACAGGTGCAAGTCTAGCTTGTCAAGATTTTTTCTTAAATTATTTCTCACAGGTCTCCAAGCCCCTATGATGATTTCAAATTATTGCAAATTACCTTGTAGCTAATAGTGAGATTTTAGATTCAGTTAAATTAAAAATGAAATGTTTACATAATTATTGCTAATCACTGCTCTTGTATATACCCCATTTCCTGGTATACAAAAATAATCCGCAGCACGCTTTTTCATCTGGTTTTTTCTATTAGGTGACTGCACAGGCAAAACTACCCAGAAAACTTTGCCGTCAGGACTCCCCGATGGAGAGCTGATATTAAATATAAAAAAAGATTTTTTATTTTTTGGAACAATGACGCACTTTTCGATAATAGAATATAAGTATAACGAGAATGATTTCGACGTCAACGATGGTAACAGAAATCTTAGTTTTGGTTGCGACAATCGGGGATATACGGATGAACGAAGGTTCATATGTATACGCAAAGATACGGGGAGAATAGAAATACGGGAGGGGAGCCACTTTGCAAGTGTGCCAAATACAACAGAGATCTACATAAAAGTCAAAGTGGAGACATTGAGTGACGTCAGTGAACGATGTTCATTTCTATTCATTGTTGGCTTTCGACCCACCATTTCGCCTGTCACAACAACATCAACTTCAACTGAAGCAACCATAAGAACAACAGCAACATCTGTCAGCGCTAGTACAGCAAGAACAAAAACAAAACGAATTGAAACAACTGCAGCGCAGACAACAAGGACAACCAGTACCAAACCAAAAACATCCACAAAGATGAAGAGGACAACAATCGACCCATGTGCTGCAGCTAACTTGTTGCGCAGTCGCCTCCAAGTATGTAACCCAAATTACCGCGAGTTGCGAGGCAACAATTTGGGCCGCGATTTCACTTTTGTATACCCCTTGAGAACCTTTCTTGGTTATAAAATCTGGAAAGTTGCCTATGTCCTGCTACAGAATCAACATGGAATATTGAAAAAGGGTGATCGTTTAACACTGTCTCTTTACGCTGTCAATATAACGATGATACGAAAGGCCCGGCCAGTTAAGCAAGTTCAGGTTCTGCTAGGAGAAGAGCGTACACATGTTCGGATAGATGCTTTTTTGCCAAAAGAGGCTTCGTATGTTACGATAAAGCTTCACAGAAGGGGAAAAGAGGCTTTTGTTGATCCCCACATGATAAAGGTCTACATTTCTACTTACGAATTTTGCTCAAATACGAGTTGTTTGGTGCTCTACAATAATTGGACAAAGAACTTCTCCAAAGGGCGCTGCGCATCAAAAGGAAATAATGATCCTGTCAGTCACTACGAAGCATGTTTTGGTAAGTGTACTGACTTCACCGGAGTTGATAATCTACTTTGATATGATGGAGATTTCACTTCTACTGTTGCATATGAAATGTTGCAAGATTAGGGCTAACCAGAACTTGCTTTGATTTGAAATATTTTTGACAACCATGCTCGCCTTCTTTTGGCTATAAATTTGTTTGTAAAATGTCTTTAAAAACTTGTAAGATTGAAATGTATAGTTCAACTAATTGCCCTTGTAAGGATAGGTTTCTAAGGATAGTGTATGCGCAATATTCAGCACTTCTTTTCTAGCTCAGAATGTGGCCCTTTTTCTCGATGTCCAGGGAATGAAATGGATCAAAATGTATCTGCCAGCATCAGGCAATACACTTTTGTATGTAAACCGATTACCCTAGCCTTGTGAAAAATTGCATTGCAACCTGGCCAATTAAAAACAGGTATCAGAGGCGGATCCAGGCTACAGCAACCTATGCAGAAGCATATATCAGATTTTTTCAACAACAAAATAAAATGGAAACTATCAAAAGTTTTAACCAAAATTTCCTTTGGCAAATTCTTGAGCAACGTCCGTCCTAGATCTGCCGCCCCCGTTGATTCCAACAACATGCAGAGGACAGGGCATATCTTTTGTTGACTATCTTTCAGCCTCTGCACAGAATAGTCGAGTAGCGATTCTAGGCATTTATTTGGTCCGTATTTTCTGAATCTAAAAAATTGTTTGTCCCTTGAGAGCCAATCACCGCTTGCTTGACCTCTGCAAATGTCTTTTATGCCAATCAGAGTGTACTTCACCTCTGCAATCTTTGGTGCGAGCATAGGTGAGATTTGATTTAACAAATCAGAAGTTGAGCTTGCCTCTGCAGCGGTTCAGCCAACCAATAGGAATCAGAGTTGACCTATGCAATGGTGTGGCTTCTCTTTCTGAAAACCTTTGCATAGGTCAGAATTCAGGCTTGATCCGCACCTGGGTATTACCAAACCGATTTTGGTCATTGACGACATGTTTAGTATGGTGAAGCAAACCGGGTTATCTTTTTACTTCGGTGTGTAGAAATCAAGCATAAG